CTCACAGTCTATTCAATGTGCAATTGAGCATCAAAAGATCAAATCTCCCCCACATTTTGACTCAATGTTGAGCTAGTGTCATATAGTGAAACATGCTTCACACACATGCAGTAAAATATGAACTTGAACATATTATTTATATCGCATATTATACTTATAAGACAACTTGACTTGGTGCAGTATTGTACTTACCTCCTAGTGGTATACTACTCCTCATTCCAGATGCAGGGTGAGTCATATCACCTGATACATCATGGAACAAATAGTTAGCTTGCTTTACGTCTGCCCAGGCCAAATACGGACCTGACACATTCTGTGCCTCCAAGTAATGGCAAGGAATCTGTTGCCATACGTAATGATCAGTACTCTTAACAATACCATAATTCTTGAAGGTTAGGTTTCCTAGAAGGTTGACCAAGGATTCATCTTGGCTGTAAAACTTCAGTGGTGCAGCATGATGAGGAAACACAGCCTGACTATTAATATTTTCCCCTTCACTGGAATTATAGTAGTTGTAAATCAGTGTTTGCTGCCGGGGCCAGAACCAAATACACAGAAGAAGGAATGCGAGAGCAAGTGAAATAAGGATGGCCTTCACTGAACTATGATAAAGAAATTGAGATATAAAAATCTTTTAGGAAATTTTTGGAAAGGTCTATCTACCCTCCCAGCCAGACAAATCTGGCTATGACACGAGTCAGTGTTTGATACACGTGGCATAGATCTACCTCATGGAGAATGGCGTCCTGGAATCTTCATATTTGGAGTCCTTTTTCATGGTAAGGCGACCACTATATCGACCAGGTCCATTATCGACTGATATGAGCATTCATCTGACCACAATATCTAAATAGATTCATTAGTCCAATTAAAAATTGGCACACCCAAACTAGATCCAGTTACAGAAATTTCTACTTTACTTGCTTACACTCAAGCAGCATGAATCATAAATAGGCAAAAATATTAAAGACACAGCCTCCATTATGTCAACGGAAAGAAGACAAGTATAGAGAAGAAAACAGAATAATATAAAAAATTTGAGAACTCAAGTTTTTATTGTACTAAAAGACTGGCATATAAAAAACAATATATATATAGCTGGTTGAAACAATGTTGTGCCAAAAAAGCACAACAGTAAAATATGAAACAGTGCAGCATATTTATCAGCTTGTATACTATAGGTTCAATTAACTGTATAGGAGCAGTTCCATGATGTGGCCTGTTGTGTTACAACGTTGATGGAACTATCAGGATGAACACAATCAGCTACTGAGAGATGTGATAGCTCCAGGGAACCAAAGTGCAGGACGAGTGAATAAGACACCCTTGAATCAGTGCCCACCTGGTATCGGCTGTTTTGGAGATAGCCCCAGACTCCAGGTAGCAGTACAGGTAATACAAATTGAGGGTCAGTGAGAGGGTCAAGTTTTGGGTCAAATG